GCAAAAAACCGCATCTAAAATAGTATAAATAGAAGCAGAGTTCTTTACGGTAAGCCTTACGGGGAAGGCTTACCTTAAAGAACTGTCTATCCCCCATGTTTAACGGAATAATATACAGCCTATGTCCATCCTGAAGTTCCATTCTAAATATTGGTGAAAAAATTTTTAAAATCGGATGAGTAGTTTTGGAGATTACCCGCTACATCCAAACTAACATACAAACATTACCTCTTTATTAAATTAGTATAGATTGTTATTTAGTTGATTTAAAGATTTATAAAATTGTTTAAATATATAACGTAATTCATCGTATGTTCATGAAACTATCATGAAATCTTATCGATTCTATAATAACAGTTTTTCTATTGAAACTTCATGATATATAATTATCATGAATTAGCATTTAAAATATAATAACAAATAGAATATAGAATTTTTGTAAAATAATAGGAAGATGCCACAGACTGTATTTCGTACAGTTATGAAATGTCTCATTAGGAAGTACAACTGTTCAAGTACAACGCACCCAGTCAATGAATTTCTATGACTATAGCTTTTACAGCAAAATTTTTGTCAGAATCTTTAGACAGACACAAAAAAATGGTTTCATAAGTTTATTTTAGTGTCAGTCAAACACCATGAAATATGAACGTTAAAACATTTTTTTTTTTTTGTTATTTAACAAAAAGAGAACAAAATTACTAGGCTACGACATGGTCGTATTCGCTCGCTACAATCTCGATGTTTGCAGACAAAACTATTTTTATACATTTTTATTATAATCTAAGCAACCAAATGCCACAACTTACTTAGAAGAATAATTTTTATACGCGATGCTGTAATGTAAAACAGCCAAAAATCTGGACAAGCTATAAGTTTTTTCAAGCATGGGCAAACGAAACTTTTTGTTGGGCAAGCGTGGTCAAACGAAAGGCACCGATTACTTAAAAAAACAGATTTAATTTAAATTTTAAAACAATTTTTTGTGATATTAAAATCAACACAAGAAAAATCAAATAAAAGCATTTATTAGACAACAAGATGTTTACAAACAGAAAGATTCTTTTCCGATTCACATCATATAATAAAATTCGATTGAATCTACGTTCTTAAATTCTTAAAACCGATGCAGACGAGAAAATATCTCCTTGAAGGGGTTTTGAATTAATTGAAATTGCCCTTCTTTTTCAACTGGTTTATGTTTACTTTTAAAGAAATCCTTTTGTAAATCAATTCCTTCGCACTTTCACACGCTTTTAAACATAAAAATCCATTATCCGTAACCTAAAACGATAAATAATACTTAGCAACGTTTATTTGAATTTACATTTTCGTGATAAAAAATTGCACGTACAATTTCCGAATATTCAGCAAACTTTGTCTTGACAATTTCGGTAGACGCAAATTATTCCAGAGATATTGCTTCCATGCGTCTTTTCTTTACTGTATTAACGTTTCTTGAGTTTATTAGACATTTAATGTACTGTATTTAGACAAGGTTGCAGAATTAAAGATACCGAAGATTAATTTCTAGATGTTTTCGATTCGACATAATTCAGAGCAAATTTCTGTTCGCAATTGACACAGATCGAAAGAAGACGTTGATTAGGAATGGACACGAAATGAGTGACACAATAAGTAATGGACAGAAACAGGATGCGTCAAATTCGAGAATGAAAACAATTCGGGAATCAAATTTAAGATAGACACAATCCGGTAGTCAAGTTCGAGTATATTTGAAATGACGTAGTCAAAATCCTTTAAAGGTCAAAATTTGGAAAGTCAAAATCGGTAAAGGTCAAATCCTGGGCAGTCAAAATCGATAAAAAGTCGAATTTTGGAAAGTCAAAATCGGTAAAGATCAAATCCTGGACAGACAAAATCGATGAAAGGTCAATTTCAGTGAGAAGCATTAAACAAAAGATCTGTGAAAATAAAATAAAAATTACTAAGAATTTCATCTACGAATTTTAATCATTTTTAAAATAATAACTTTATTTGTTATTAAGAAACTGAAAATACATTTCTGCCTTGTGTGATTTCTTGCGTACTAAATATAAGTTATTGTGAATGTCAACGTTTTACAACCATCCTGTAATAACATTTAAGTCACTAAACAGAGTAACTGAAAATCTTATCTTTACATCCATTTTTGTTATTTTGCAGTGTTACGAGACAAGTACATTCCCAGGATTTTGTCTCATAGAGAGCAAATGCTATAAATTGATAAACCGATTAAATAAAATTATGGTTCTTAAATAAATTTCTTCTACTTATGTTAATGTCTTCTATCTTCGTAATAAACGCGTAAAACACAAGCAAATAGTGTAGTTTCTCATAGTATTAAAAGAGAAACATAGGTCTATCTTGTCGCACGATAATATTGGTTACTGTGTTTCGATGCATCGGCAATTAAAATAATATTTTAGGCGAAAAATGACTTTTCAGGTCTCTTCTTTACAGGGCGCTTGTTAGGTAAATATATCATCAAATCACTAGCGATTTCATAATATTTGAGGCCTTAGCTAGATATTGAAATATAAGGCACATTTATACAACTGTATACAATGTAAAGCCGTACGATACGATTTTTTGTAAGATTTAAGATCTTTCCAAATACAATACTGGATTTCAGATTTGGACCAATACAGAGTATCGACAATAATACATATGTAATGCCCGAGACCCTAAAAGCCTAGTTACGTATATAACATCGCAATAGCATTAATCTGCTTCTACGTTTTGTCTTGTACATGTCGTAATTTAATTATGTGTTGTTTGTACAACTGGACCATCGACTGTGTAAATTTTAGTATTTATAAAGTGAGAGTGTAAAATTTCTATTCAGTTTATCAGTAAGATTTTCAATTTAGTTTACCGTTGAAAAATCTTTAGTTTTTCAGTTTTAACTTATATCTTTATTGAATTGGATATAACACTTGTTTGGATGAAGAGTAAACCGTCAAATCTCGATATACCGCATTCCAAACAGCGCCAAAGAATACGGGAAAATTATGTGATTCTCGTCAAATCACATAACTTCTGAACTCAAATTTATGTGTAGATTTTAATACTATATGTTGATATTTGAGGAATTTTAGTTTACTGCCACACTCGAATTAGTGCTAATTTGAGAGGCGAAAAAGTGACGCAGCTAAATCGAACTTTGATTAAATGAGCATAGAAATACGTACCTCTTAACCGGCTTCCACATTGATTTCAAGAAAGATCCGAACTTCATTTTCAGTTTATTCTGCCGAAAACCCTAAGTCTGAAAATACAAAAACAAATCAGTTGTTTTATTTCGTAAAGTGACATTCAAATGCGATATTGGAAAATAAAACATACAATTTTGGGCCAAGGCACTTTATGAAAATACTCGTGTTCTCTTATATTTACTTCTAGAGGACGTCTGCAAGGGTCCTGAAATGATCGAAAACAAAAGTAATTAATTCAAATTTACTATTCGAATGATTATGTTTTTGTCTGTGTGTTATTTCGGATAAGATAAATGTTATTAAACTAATTAGCAGCACGTCATTAAAAATTTACTTAATGATATGAAACGAGTTTTCAACATTTTATTGAATATAATCGGTGAATTAATTATAAACAGATTTATGAAAGTCCACAGAAAGACCATATGATTACAATTAACGATATTAATTGAATGAATGCTTTCATACAAGAGAAAACACAAAATTTGCCGTATATATTCATTGTTTTTGGCAACAGAGAAAAGTCGAATGTAGATACATAAGAGAATTACATGCTTCGGTTCGTAAATAAATGTCATTTCGTGCATAAAACGGGGAAAGACAAATATGAATTTGTTAAGTACAGTTAAGTATAATTTTACCTTTTGCAATAGATCATAAATAAAATGTCTGGCATCATCCGATAATGCAGGAGGATACGACATCTTCACATTTAGAGCAGCTGCAAACGCATTTTAATAATAATTATCTTATATTGCAAATATTATTATTATTATTATTATATTAATAATTTTGATACATTACCTCTTATCCGGTCGTAACGGGGCAATAAATACACATTATCAATATCGAAAGCTTCTTTTACATAAATCTCTAGAGGAGTTCTTCCAACCAACGCTTGAAATAACACAATGGCGAACGCCCACCAGTCACAGTAGGAATCTACAAACAATACATTCATTAATACATCCAACAATATGATACAAATGTAAGAATATAATGATGTGAAAGTACAGGTCATTACCATAAGGCTTCCTCTGGAGAATTTCCGGACACATAAATGATAAAGTTCCACAATAATCTCTTGGATTTCGTTCGTACTGAAAAAAGTAATAATAAAATAGTTAAGAGATCGTTAAAAA